GAATAGGGCAGGGCAGGGAGAAGAAGGCAGGGAGAAGGAGCAGGAGACAGGGGACAGGGTCAGGGGCAGGGAGAAGAAGCAGGGGAGAGAGGGCAGGGACAGGGCCAGGGGCAGGGAGAAGAAGGCAGGGGAGAAGAGGGCAGGGGAAAGGGGGCAGGAGAAGAAAGGGGACAGGGAGCAGGGAGAGAGCACAGGGGAGAAGAGGCAGGGGAAAGGAGAAGAACAGGGACAGGAGGAATAAGGGAGAAGAGGGCAGGGGACAGAGAGAAGAGGCAGGGAGGCAGGGAGAAGGAGGCAGGGGCAGGGGTAGGGGAGGGGCCTAAGGTGCGCGCTGGGCTGGGATTTAAGGCTGGGTTAGCGAGCACTCGCCCCGTCTTCACACATGACTGCTCCCTTGATGTTGCTGCCGTGACGTGGCCCCAGAGCCTCCTCCTCCTCCTCCTCCTCCACTTCTTCCTTATCCTCCTCCTCCTCTACTTCTATCCCTATCCTCGTCCACTTCTTCCCTATACTTCTTCCTCTACTTCTATCCCTATACTCGTCCACTTCTTCCTCCTCCACTTCTATCCCTATCCTCGTCCACTTCTATCCCTATCCTCCTCTTCTTCTTTATCTTCCTCCTCCATTTTCCCTATCCTCCTCCACTTCTTCCTTATCCTCCTCCTCCTCCACTTCTATCCCTATCCTCCTTCATTTCTTCCTTATCCTCCTCCTCCTCCACTTCTATCCCTATCCTCCTCACTTCTTCTATCCTCCTCCTCATGCCTCTATCCTCCTCTTATCCTCCTCCTCCTTCACATCATCTTCCTTATCCTCCACCCTCTCCTCCTCACGCATCTGCTCCTACTTTTCCCGCCTCTCCTTCTCCACCACCACCTCCTCCTTCTCCACCACCACCACCTCTCCCTTTTCCTCCTCCCCGTGCTGTGCTGCAGCTGTTCTTACACCTGCCTCCTTCTGTATTCCAGCTGTGCCTACACATATATCTCACAACATCCAGTATACTCTCATTACACTCTCTTGTAAAATCGTCATACCTACACCTCCCTATATATGTATATTTACGTCAATGACCCGATATCTATCAGCAAATATCTCTCGCCATCTATTTATTTTAGGAGTTCGTTTTATCTTTCCTTATCACGTGTTTTCTTGTGTTTCATCATTCTGGTCCGAGGAGGAGCGCTGACTTTGCTTACCGCTTGTTTAAAGCTGTTTCTTGTATGTCCGTGTCTGGTATTTCTTAAGATAATCTCCTTATCTTTTTTTTTCTGAATAACGTATTTTGTTCTGTTCTCTGCTCTCTCTCTCTCGCTCTTTTCTATTTCTGACTCTTTCTCTGTCTCTCATTCTCTCTCTCTATTTCTGTCTCTGTCTGCCTGTCTGTCTGTCTCATTTTCTCTCTCTCTCTTTCTGTCTCTTTCTCTGTCTCTCTCTCTTTCTGTCTCTTTCTCTGTCTATTTCTCTCTCTCTCTCTTGGAAAATGGAGTCACTGACACTATACTTACTTTGTATGCATGTATGTGTATCCGTGAAGTGCCATTTTTCTTATACTAAACTCGACACTGTGGCAGCTGGCGCCAACCACAAAGGCAACTGCATCTATAACTCGTGTGGTTAGGAGTATAACCATGACCACAGTCACCATAGGACCCATAAGCCTCAAAGCCCCACCACAATAACCGCAACCAACTCCTTACCACGACAATAACCGCAACCACCTCTTTAGCCACCACAATAACCGCAAGCACCTCATTAGCCACCCAATTACAACCACAACCACCTCCTTAGCCACCCTAATAACCACAACCACCTCCTTAGCCACCCCAATAACCACAAGCACCTCCTAACCCCACCCCCTCTTACAACCACCACCTCCTTAGCCACCCCATTTCCCCCCCACCCCACCACCACAATCACCCCAATTACCCCCAACCACCCGAAGACACCAAGCCCCACAGCCCCATTACCGGGAGCGACGGACCACCCCCAACAAGCTCAGCGGGGCGGCAATTATAGCAGATCATGGCTTCTTACCTGTACTGTCTCTACCGGTCTCTAATCTCTCATTACATCACCATCACGACGGTATCTCTCGCCGCCGCTCATCATTAGAAGATGAGGGAGTGATGAGAGGGGGAGGGGAGGAGGGAGGGGAAGGGAAGGGGAAAGGGGAGAGGAGAGGGGAGGGGAAGGGGGAAAGAGGGAAGGGGGAGAGATGAGAGGGGAGGGAGGAGGAAAGGGAGGGTAAGGAGGGAAAGGGGGATGAGAGGGGTGGATGGAGGGAGAAAGGAAGGGGGGGGATGAGAGAGAGGGAAGGGAGGAGGGAGGAGAGGAAAGGAAGGGGGGTTGGCTATTGATGGAGGTTGTGGTTGTGGAGAGAGAAAGAATGAGGGAGGGAGAGAGGAAAGATAGGGGGGAGTTATACAGACAGATAAGGGGTATCTATGATTCATGTATAAATTTTCTTTTATCTCAATCTCCTCTCTCCTTCAAACTA